GTGTACACGTGCGCGTGACACAACTCCGCATTTTTAAAAAAATATATAATTTATAACACGAATATACGTACGCGTGATTCGATTCAAAGAAGGGTCTTTAAATATAAATAGAAGCGGTAACAATAAAATCATGCAATAAAAATGTATTTTACAAATCAAAATAATCAAGCCGAATATAACAGTTGAGCGACCGTGCTAGAACCACGGAACTCGGGAATGCCTAACACCTTCTCCCGGGTTAACAGAATTCCTTATCCGGATTTCTGGTGCGCAGACTGTTAAATAGGCAGAGTCATATTCTCCTCGATTCAGGGATTAAAACCGGTGACTTGGGACGCCTTAAAATTCCCAGGTGGCGACTCTGAAACAAACAAACAAATCCCGTTTCGACTGTCCTTTAATTGGAGAAAACTCCTTTGCACGGACGCGGGGCGGAAAAGGGAGGTGTGACAACAAGTGGGATCATTGCCTCCGGTTTTGGCCATCTTCTGTCTTCGGTTCCACGTGTCGTTTTCTTAGGCGATCATAAAATATGAATATATTTTACCCCATACAGTATTGAGTAAAAAAATTCGAACCAAACCGACATATAAATATATAATTTTTATATATAAATTTAAGACTTTTCATAGAATTTTCTAAATATCTAAAAATATTTGTGATTCTCTTATTGGATGTAATATTTAGTTAAATATAAAGTGCTCGATTTTTATTAACTTTAAATAATGGGATGTACGATCACTTTCTTATCAAGTGTTAGTGAAATGCGTCAATCTCTTTGTTCTTCCATATTCATATATCAAAATCTATTAAATTCTTATATCTTTTTTGAATTTGAAGAGATATTTCAAAATTTTAAAATTAAATAGAATATATCATTATATAGTTATCATATGATTTTTATGTTTAATTATTAAAATCAGTTAACCTTGAAAGTGTACATCAACGAAAAATTATTATCAGACGACTAAAAAAATAACTATCATATGCTACTAAGAAAATTCTCCCATAAGAATATGTTAATAGATCATATGTTTGTCAATTTTTACTAAATGTATATTTACTTATAAGAAATTTAACAAAATATGATTGAAATAATATTCATGTTACAAAAAAATCCGACAAAAACAAACAAATTCAAATCGATATAGTTGGTGTGATTTTGATAAAAATCGAACCAACCCGGTCTATATACACCCCAATAAAAGTATGACCCCCTATTACAACTTCTTTTTCCGTGAAAGCATAAATTATTTTCAAATAACAATCCAAAAAGAGAAAAGCAAAATATCAATGTAATGCGAAAGAGAATGAAGAATTTCTTATTTTCTATAGTGACGAGACAATTCTTATTCTCAAGCCATGGCTTCATTTAGTAATCAACGAGTAAAGCACAAATTCGTTTTACCTATTTAACAAGAATTCCTTTTCTTTTGTTTCTCTTTGTCTAAAGCTTTCATTCCCAAAGTTAAAGGCAAAAGAAGGAGCTTTGCCTTTAAATGCCTTTTAGAAAGGGAAGTGAGTGAGAAGCTGTCAGTGCGTCAGCTCGCACTTCCTTTCTTTCCTTTAGGGAAATCTTTTTTTTTCTCTACACTGACAATGCCAACCCCCACGCATGTTATAGAATACAGAATATAAATAATTAGATATATTCTTCTTTAATAGTATAAAGTTTTTAAACAAAGTAATCATATAATTCAATATGATATGAAAAAAATTCTTAGTTCAAATCTCACCATCATCTATTATAAAAAGAATTTTTACATGCTTGACAAAGAAAAAGGTCATGAGATTTGTAGTTTCAAATCACCATTATTAGCACTCGCGTACACAAAATTAACACAAGCAGAGTCGATTATTATCACAATTTAACTCGTAAGTTCAACTACGTTTGGTTCTTCAGTTATATTAAAAAAAAATAAAAAAAAATAAAAATAAAAAAGAGTAGTTAGTTGCATTAAGCTCCGGCTATACGCGAAGTCCAGGGAAAGATCGGACCACAAGGGTCTATCGTACGCAATATTATCGTGTATTTCGGCCAAATGTTGTTTCCACGGTTCTTAAGTTATATCCCTGTCTCAGATTGATATTTACTCTCTATCATTTCTTCAAGCAGTATCGACCTATATATTTTTACCAGAAATCTATTTATAAGCATATGTTAAAAAAAACAAAAAGGTACCTCCCATAACAACCCGTTCCTTTTCTTGCATAAATTTTAAATTCACATAAAAACAAACTTAAAATTACATTATAGGCAGTTGTATTGTTTTTTCTTTTCAGTTGTAGCAACCAACCTTTTTGTCATAACTACGTGTGATCCTTGATAGATTCCCTCCTTTTTCTCTCAATCTTTACCTTTCTTCCAACTCTTCAACTTGATTATTGATGCCCATGCATCTGTTAATAAAGAATCTCAACTCCATCTTCAAAACCTTGAACTCTCCTTACTGGCCTTTTCTTTTACTTCTTTATTTTGATTTTTTCTGAGTTTCCAAGCTGTGGCCAAAGAACAAGACAATCATTCTTGGCACATTTTTTTGCATATAATATAGTTTTATACCCAAGAATACAGAGCTCTCTGTTTTAAACTTTATTTTTTGGGCATGTGAAATATGGCAAGTTCATCTGGAATGAATATTAAAGAAGGGATAAATTCATGTAGCGGGAATAATTCGATAGGGGGAAGAGATAATTCTTCTTCACCTACAAGTTTTCAACAAAATCAGGTTTCAATGGATTGGACTCCAGAAGAACAAGCTATCTTGGAGGAAGGTTTGGTAAAGTGAGTGAATCTTTTAAAGTCTTGATTTGATGTTTTGAATTGATTACTTTTTGTGGGGTTGGCTATTTTATGGTGGCCTGTAAATTACTTGCTTCTTGTTGTGGTTTAGTTGTCTAAGCTTTGTGATTGGTACAATGATGAATTTTTGCATGTTATATTTGCTAGGTACAAATATACGGTATGTGAGGATTCATTTAGCCGATCCTTACTGGGTTGAATTCATCGAGCGTAGTTGCTGTTGTGCAAATATATGATTTTTTATTTTTCGTTTGATTAAGGTGGTTTGAGGGTCTATCGGAAACAGCTTCTCTACTCCGTCAGGGTAGGAGTAAGGTCTACGTACACACTATCCTCCCCAGACCCCTCACTTGTGGGATTCTACTTGGTTGTTGTTGTTGTTATTGTTATAGTGTTGTAGTTTGATTAAGGTGGTGTAAGCTCTTTCCTTCTTATGGCAAGTATTCCTTTATGATATTGGATATCCTTCCTTTTTCTTTTGTTTCTACTTTATATGCTCCTTATTTTACTTCTTTCAACAGTTAGAATTAGTTAACCATGTGAGAAGATGCTTTAACAGTATATTTAACAAAGTTGTGACATTATTGTCGCTTTTCGTTTGATTGAACTGAGGACTTTAGGCATATATGGTCTAATGACTAGTGTTCTCTGGTTCACTTGGTCTCTCCTGTGATAGTCTCAAAGAAGTACCTGAAAACACCTTAAATTTCTTAGTAGTAACTGAAAGTACTGGTATGAAAACTGTGAAGTACTTTTATACAATCTACTATACTGCCAAACACAAAGGCGGAGCTAGGATTTGAAGTTACTGGGTTTGGGATTCTAGCCTTTCTAGGTCACTAGGTTCTAAAGTAAGAATTTGTACCTATTCAATGGATTTTTTAAGACAAGTATTAGGTTTGCACTAAAGCTACTAAGTTCGGCCGAACCCGTTACCGAAGCTCTAGCTGTGCCCCTGGCCGAACAACCCCTTGTTGAATGTTAGTTAAGTAGCTACTTTGATAATGTTTATTTTAAGGGCCACAGCTTTTTCGATATTAATGTTCAATTGGTATGCAGAAATATGGAAATGCATTTCTGATATTTTTCAGTACTAGCCTTGTCCGAAAACCTCAGACAAAAAGCCAGCTTAAGAGTACCAAGGTTCTGAAAGGAAGACAAGCCTTAAGGCAGCTAAAGCTAGGAACGCGCGCTAAAGTTATCTTACTGAGATAGGAAATGTGAGACATGACATGAGGAACAACATTTGAGAGTGTCACTAAAGATTAAGGACATAAGTTCTCTTACTTACGAAATAGAGGTGTTGAAGTTAGGAAAAGAATTTGAATAGTTCTGTCATCAGCATTTCTAACTATTGCTATTTGGTTTATGATATGATTAGTTTTAGACTCTGCTAATTTCTAGTATTAGAAATGAATTTTTTATTTTATTTTTAAAAAATGGATAACGGATAAATTTTAGGCTGATGTTTCTTTACTTCCTTCGTTTATCTTGTCAAACGTGTTGATTCGTGTAGAGGTTTATCTCTTTAAGCTACTTTTCTCAAGGGTCTATAATTCATTTGTATTTACTGAAGCTCCATATATAGGACAGCTAATGCATCTGGGAAATAACTCCTAAAAATTACCTGCAGATATGCCTCCGAGACAAGCATATCCCGTTATGCAAAAATTGCAATTTCGCTGAAGAACAAGACTGTTCGTGATGTGGCATTACGATGCAAATGGACCACGGTAAGTACTCCTAGCTGCTGCATTTTGTAGCTGAAAACTCTCCCAGGAAAACTCTCCCAGA